CTCGTACAGGACTTGGTCATCCATCATCATGCTATGAGTCACCACCAGTGGTAACTGAACGCTTTTACTGTTCAACGAAATAGCAGCACCGCCCCCAAAAGCTGCTTTAGATCCGTTACGGCACTACCAGTTTCCAACAGAATTGTCTGCGAATGTGTGGCTGTTTGTAAATGAATCATTGAGCAGCCACAAAAAATAATAGCAGCGCACGCAACCCCCGGTAGAAGAACTCGAATCTCGTCCAAGCAGAAATGCCGCCTTCCTAAACATTTCCCAAGGCAAATAATAGCAATCGAAAGACTCTGTTCCACCCTAAAATTGTTTCGGAACCGGATACGACCAGTTTTCCGTCATATTTTAGCACTGCCTGAACACACAGGTTTGTCCAAGACCGCCTCTCATCTGAGTGCCGTCATTTTTCTCTTAGCCCAGGAAGATGGTCTTGTCAGTCAGACTTGGTCCGCGAATGAAACAGGAACAACCCTTCCAACCAAAAACAGAAACACGTCTAATTGAGTCGGTATTGAGCAGCTCAGCAGAGAATACGCAGAAATCAGTTCATGATTGTACAAGTGGTACCTTGGTCAATTTCATTCCGGAGCTCCCATCAAAGAGCATTTTTCACTTTCTGAGGCTTTTTTTTTTTTTTTTTTTTTTTGGCTCCTTCCAGACTATACAACCACATACAGCAGCCCAGCAAGCTCGTCTATGGCTGTGATTATTGCTTATTCAAGGTACTCGCCTCCTACCAAACAAAGCCCGTAAATCTGCCGCTTTTGCGACTGACGCGCTTGTGCGAACGTTGCAGGACGGCATCAAGCCAATGTGGGAGGACGACCGCAACAAACTGGGGGGGCGCTGGCTGATGACACTCAATAAAGTCCAGCGGCACAACGACCTCGACCGCTACTGGATGGAGACGGTGAGTGGGCGCACCGAGCGCCGTTTGGTATTTCCCGACATTTAGGCACAATGTTAATCCCGTGCATAAAGTTGAGGAACTGACAAGTCGAGGCCCCGCTGGGCGCGCTGACGTATGTGCCGTGTGTGTTTATGACGGCGCGTGCGTTTCCGCAGCTCCTGTGTTTGGTGGGCGAGTCGTTTGACGAGGCGAGCGATGACGTGTGCGGAGCCGTGGTCAACGTCAGACACAAAGCGGACAAAATAGCCATCTGGACTAGCAACTGCCAAAACCGGGAGGCCATCATGAAGATCGGGTGAGCCGAAACCTTGTTTTGGTTTCTTTCACACTCGCATAAGCTGCACTTGCGTCTGAATCAAAGGTTATTAGAGGTCACGAAAACCAGGAAACTAAGACTTCCAAAAAACATTTTTGTAAATAAAATGACGATAAGTACCTGAAGCTACATTTTAAGTCTGTCCAACTAAATAAAACCAGTGAAAATGTCTTTATTTTGGTTTTTGTGAATTAATTTCATACATGAGCTTTCGGGGTGGGGGGGTTTAATTATTATTTTTTTATTTATATTTTATTTTTTTGAAAAACGTGATGTTGTTCCAGCTAGTTTTTTTCCCCTTATAGACAATTTTTTTTTTCCAATATTCGTTTTCTTTATTTTGTGGGCTTTCGGTAACCATAATAACCGTGGCGTCATCACAAATTGGTCAATAAATATGCGCCCAAGCAGTCTACTCAAACGGTATGAAGTCATTAGACTTGGACGATGTCGATTATTTGTCGCCACTGCGTGGGCAGGGGATGCAGAAACATTTTGCCATCAACACTGTCAATGAACTAAACCGAACACCACCAAGCTGCCACCAGAGGGCGCCAAAGTAATATTTGGACACCGCACCTCACCCCAAAAAACATGAAAGACAACAATTCCTTACTTGCCTCGTCTATATTCTATATTTTGTTTGTTTTATTGATTAGAAATGCATTGGGGCTAAACCAAATGTTGCCAGTTGCTTTTTTTTTTGTTTCATTTTTTTAAACACACTAATGGGAAAATAAAGTGAGTCCAAGACAGCGGCCTCGGCCTGATTGTTCAGTTTTCTCTCCTCGGCAGGGAAACCTACAAGGACCTTCTGAGCATCCCCAGCAAAGCCATGCTGGGCTACCAGTCGCACGACGACACGTCCAGCAAGAGCGGCTCCACCACTAAGAACATGTACTCCATTTGAAAAGGCCCTCACCGTCGCCACGCCGACCACCCACGTTCAGATTTTAACAACAATTGCAAGCCCAAACCGTCATTATGTTAACATTTTGAGTTGGAGTCAACTACGAGATAGTGTTGTTCCTTTTCACTGAAAAACAAACAAATGCACCGCTGCTCAATTTCAGTGTGTTCTGATTTGCAACAGAACAAAAACGGATGGGAAACTGTATGCACCTGAAATGGTTAAAGAGCAGTTTTAACTTGATTTAATCCCTCAAGTGTTACACAATAAGCGGACAGGCCATCTTGAAGAATCTACAATATGTTTGGTTTATAAAATAATAAAACGCAACTGTCGCCACGCTCCCCAGTGGTTTGGATTTTTAAGGCCACTTATTATTTCAGCTATGCTGGAATTGTGGATTATCGCTTGTAGTATTTGTTTTCTTTTGTTTCCTCCCTTTTGCCCTCTTTACATTTATTTATAATGTATGCCTTGCAGTTGACATCGAATAACTTTTTTTTTGTTAAGGATGAAAATCTGGACTACTGCATTCTTGGAGGACATTTTTTACAGTGTACCATACAGTAAAGATAATGACCCAATTTGTGTGTGTGTGTGTGTGTGTGTGTGTGATTTTCACTGTTCTCTCGCTAACAAATTGTAGATAATGACACTTGCTATCTCTCTTTATTTCTCTCTCTCGATGCAACCTGAAAAAAAATATTGTGAATGATCTTTTTTTCCCCCCCTTTGCATAGTGTATCTTTATCTGTTCCCCCAGGATGTATATTACCTTCTTTCAAGTAAAGGTGAAATGCTTTGCATTAAAAAAAAAAACACATGCTGTCCTGTGTTGTCTTTGTAGTACCAGCAGGCATCTCACAAGTGCTTTCACATTCACTGATTTAATCACATATTTGGGCATGTCTGGAAAATTGAGTTGACCCACTCCTAACAATTTCAAATGAGACCAGACTACTCAGTCTGAAATGTCATCTATCAACTATAGAAAGCTGTATATTAAAACCAAAAGGTAGGCAGAGCTGCAGTTAGTTTTGTCGGGACGCCCAGACCTTCACTTTCGATAAGCAGCACATATTTGATGAAGTTGTTCAGTCCTGCTTGTATTTAAAGTGACATGAGTTACATGTTTGTTGAGTTCAATGAGCATGCTTGCAATTGAAATATTTCTGAAAGCCTGCGTGGGTTTTCTCCGGGTACTCCAGTTTCCTCCCAAATTCCAAAAACATGCATGGGAGGTAAACTGAACACTCTAAATCAGGGGTACCCAAAACAGATCGTGATCGACCGGTAGCTCACGGCCTGGTCCCAAGTCGATAGCGAAAGGTGTCGAGGGGGAAAAAAACTATCCAAAACATTTGTGTGTCTGTGTGCGTGTTATTAATATGATATATTTTGTGCTAGTAAATAGCATCCTATCAGTCTCACATTCATAATAGTATTTAAAAAAGAAAATTAAAAAAAAAGCAGGTCACTTTTAAGCTCCGGTGCCGCGTGACCTGCATCACCGGAAGTTGTTAGCAAAAGGTGTCGAGGGGGAAAAAAAACTATCCAAAACATTTGTGTGTCTGTGTGTGTGTTATTAATATAATATATTTTGTGTTAGTAAATAGCATCCTATCAGTCTCACATTCATAAAAGTATTTAATAAAGAACATTTAAAAAGAGCAGGTCACTTTTAAGCTCCGGTGCAGCGTGACCTGCATCACCGGAAGTTGTTAGCTGTTAGCAGTCTGGGAATTGCAGCTATCGATCAGAGCTGTTGCGTCTTTTATTTACATTATTATTCTATTCAGAGTGTGTTTCATGTACGATTTCCCGAGGGCACGGGTAGGGAATGGGAATCTGGAGTGTCCGGAGAAGCATTTTAAAACGCTACACGTGAGCTACGGTCGTTAACACGCTGTCCCATGCCTTCGCGACAGGTCTCTACTAAGGTACGTCGTGATTTGGTCTTCACAAACTCACAAACTTTTGTGATGGTTATTGCTCATCGGAGCATGCGTTCGTATGCGCGATCCCGGGAGGTTGGTTGAATGTAAAGCAGATGTTTGGTCAAAAAGGTTTGGGCACCCCTGCTCTAAATTGTCCTGAGGTGTGATTTTGAGTGTGAATGGTTATTCGTCTATGTGTGTCCTGCGATTGGTTGGTGCCCAATTCAGTTCAGGGTATATCTGCCCAACTGCCCGAAGATTGCTGAGATAGACTCCAGCACGAAATAGAAAGTTAATAAATCCAAACGTATTTTGCTTCAATTCAATAGACATTGGTCTTCACTTCCTCAGCAAGGCATAGTAACATTCTTTGCGGAGGATAAAGAATGGATGCCTGTGAGTATTATGTCTATCTGCACTATTTATGGTCCAATATCAGAAAGAGCTCGTACAACCCAACATTAATGCTAGCTTCATTAGCCTGTTTGCTGAAAGAGCTCTTACAACCCAACATTAATGCTAGCTTCATTAGCCTGTCTGTGGCGTTTTGCATTGTGCTAGCATAACAGCTGGGAGTGGCAGTAAACAACTTGAAGATTTTTTTCTTAATTGTTCACTATCTGCCAAACCTCACTCATTGTCACTTCTACCTAAAATTTTTGCTCACGAGCCAAAATGCAAAACCGGACCGTTAACAACTCGAATCTTGAAAAAGGAGTAACGGGTCACTCCCAAGATGTCACTTCATATTGCATGACTCATGCTTTACATAACAATTTCCTGTCACTCACAGTACAGTGGGCGTTTGGTTTCAGCACATGGATGTCATCCAGATTTTTGTCCACACCTTGATGAGCAGGATGACGCCATCCACCAAGGATGATGTTTGCAACATCCTAGCAACCCGGGGCTTTCGTTTTTTTTTTTTTTTTTCTGTTTTGACATCCAAGGGATTAAAGGCGTCAATGCAAAATGAGTCATTTTCACAGTGCGAGTTTAGACATGAATGAACATGGACATATATAGTCAGCCATGAGAAAATCCTCATACAGTCAAAGTTCCGGCTACCAGTTCTCGGGCTGGACCCGTGCGGCCTCCTTGTGGTTATAATTGTACGTCAGTCAGACCAACATGAAGGGTCTCTCCTCCTCGCGTTGGCTGTACAGATTGGACAGCATGTAGGTGGAGAAGAAACTGAATTCCGCGATGTAGCTGAGCTCGAAAAGCTCCAGGTTGGTGCTTAGGATCCACTCAAAAACAGCCGACAGATGCACGTAGTAGTAGTCATGGTGGGCGAAGCAGAAAGTGTCTGAGTGAGGCTTGGTGTTAAGGGTGAACAAGGATTCGGGCTCGGAATTCAAGGAATTTGCACGGTATTATTGCCAAATGCTCTTGTAATAATGAACCGCATATTCTCATTTTGGGAGGTTTTTTTTTTCATATTAATCACCCACCGACCCCAAAAAAAGAGTTTCTTTGACTTTTAAAAATAGATCTTCACAATTTTACGAAAATAAAAAATCTAATAGGATCTTAAAAAATGTTGTTGTTGTTTCGAACAAATGATATATGATAACTGGTTTGTGAAAGTGAAAGGATTCGTCTTTCATGATAATTTGGAGAAAACATTTTGGGGTGGAAAAGAATTGGCATTTTATTCTTTTTTTCAGACAAGGTTTTTGTGGGGAAAAAGTTTTTATCTTGGAAAACTTTACTTTTTTTAAGTTCAGATTTTTTCAAGATTTTTTTTGGGGGGCAGGGGAAAAAGTTGTCGTTTTTTGTGATTTTTTTTCACCCTTTATGTAATTTAATTTTGGTTTTTCCTGTAACATATGTATTTTTGATCATTTTTCCTTTCCTGCACAGGATGCCCCAGCTCTATTTTTGAGGAAAAAAAAGTTCTTGCTTTCTTAGAAAAAATGTCATCCAAAACATTTTCATTTTTTTTTAACAAAAACGATTTTTTTTTTTTTGGTCAGAAAAAAATTGTAAATTTTTTTCATGTTTTTTTCATTCTACATATAATTTTGAGAAAACATATTTTCGACTATTTTTAATGAAACGTCATCCCCTTTGAGAAAGTATATTTTTGAGGAAAAAAGTACTATATTAAAAAAAGCCATAATCCTATCAAATATGAACTGTATATTTTCCAGTTCCCACATTCACATTTGGCTTGTCCAACAGTAATGCAGCATTTTAAAAAGACTACAGTGAAATGATTATGGATGAAATGTGACCGAGGTTGGTTGAGACAATACGCGCCACTGTTATAGGCGGGCCCACTTTGTCAACAGGATGACGCTATCTCACACCAGAGTTGGTCAGGCCTGCACACATCCTGTTCCAACACCACGAAATGACTCCATTGCATTGTCGCATGTACTGCTTCTCCAAGTTTTTACACCAAAGTACCACTTCAAAAAATATTTAGCTCTCCAAGTGCGACCATCATTAAACTATAGCAGCGTAATACAAGACGTAAAGGTTTTATTCCCCAAGAGTCTATTTCATATTTGAAGTTTGAAGTTGGAATTCAGTGATTCTTTGGCATAGCACTAGAGGGAGCCGTCATACCACACTTGAAGACTCACTAATAAAAACGATTGAAAAAAGGATACAGCAGATAGTTAGGATGATCTGTAGCACCGTGGACACGATGCGCAGCGGGTAGAGTAATTTCTCGTATCCCGTCAGCAGACATCTACCAGTCAGTGCGCTGAGCAGGACCGTGTAGCAGCAGATGCACATGAAGCTCACCCCGGCCCCCGCATGGTGTAGCAGGGTCAGGTACCCAGGCTGGTGGTGGGAGACACACACACACACACACACACACACACACACACACACACACACACACACACACACACACACACACACACACAGCTTATTACTAAGTTATTACATTGTTACTAATACAATATAGTAAAATAGCACTATAACTAGAAATACATGCAATAGCAAGTAATTAATGCCCACCCACACCTAAAAAGTTTTGTAACTGCCTAGAGATGTTACAAGATGGCGGTCAAGCACTTCATATGAAGCACCTCAACTCACTTCAACATCCGCAATTCCTTGGCACCAAGGAGAACAAGATGGTGCCTCAGTAATACTTTTATAGCAGCCAATGCTTTGGCCTGAGCATAAAGACAGTGACCAGGTGGGTAGCACTGATTACTATGTTACTACATGGCTTTTACTACATTATAACACACATATTATTCCCGCTATCACATAATTATTACTACATTAATACAGAAGCACTCTGTAGTTTTAATGTGAATTCAGTGACTCTGACTTCCGTTACTGTACTGCATATTTAAACAGGCCAAAGCAGTACTTTTCAGAAATTCATAACTATGTTATTACATTGTTCTTACTCCATTATTCTGTGACTACGCCCTAGTTGTCCATGTGAATTTAGGGATTGTGTGTTATGAACATACATTAAATACATAATTAAATATGCCAAGGAAATATTTTTCAGAAACTCATTACTATATTATTGCATTGTTATTACACACAAAACACATCTGTGGCTATCTGCTTACAGTGCTATCACGTAGTTAGTATTAATTCTGCAGTCTTACATGAATGTTGGCTATCACATAACAGTATTTGTTACTAAACATAGCATGAATAACCAGTATTGTCACAAGTGCATTTTTCCACAATTTGTCACCAGAGTCGACAAGGAAATATGGTATCAGTAGTTCTCTAAAATAAACGGAGAAAATCACGGTCAATTATTCAAGGAACACCCTGCCGCCTGTCGAGCGAGGATTATACAAAAATGTTTGAAGAGCACTGTATTTCCTGTCTATCCACTGTGCACTTTTTACTACGCAAAACAAGCCTGGCTACATACTGCAGCTCAGGAATGATGACATGTCCGAACACATGGGAGAACCGCATGAACACATTTGTTTGGTGAATGTCTTTGTCGGACTAGCTAAGTAGCTTGCGATCTGTACCACAACTTACGTTACAGTTTCCGGCGGCGAATGATCCCATGGAGGCTACCACGCCAAAGGCCAACGCAAACCTGCTTATGGCGGCTTGGCGCGCATTTCTTTCCATGATGTGGGCATGGTGGAATATGCAGAAGAGCAAAACTACAAAAGTAGATATTCATATCAACAGTGTTTTTTTTCTAAGTACTGTATATTGTGCGTCTGGAAAGTACACAGGGCCAAACATAACACGGGAAAGAAAATATGAGATTGTGGTGATGAAATAGATATAACGTACACACCAAAAGGTCATTTGTGCCCACGAAACATTAATTTGTAGCCATACAGTAGGTGTAATGTGCACAAAAAAATACTCATTTGTGGCTATGTAGTACCTATCAAGTACACAAAAATACTAGTTGTGGCCACAAAATACTCATTTGTGTACAGGAATGAAGTATATCGTGCGCATAAGATACTAATTTGTAGCTGTAAAAATCCTCATTTGTGACAAAGTAAATGATTGCGCGCACCAAATAATAATTTCGGTTCATTTGTGACCAAAAAAATACTCATTTGTGGCTATGAAAAAAAATTGATAAATGAGCCCAAAATTGGACGGGCTTGATCCAGCCATGGAATTCTTTTGCCTGTTTTTAATGTACAGTAAAATAATTTCTTTTGGTGTTTCATTTTTGGCATCCTACGTTTTTGTCCAAGAATTTTCATTTTGCTGCATCTTTAACTTATCATGTATTTTTGGAGGGAACGCACTTTACTTTTGGAGTCAGCCAGCCCTTCCTCAAACATCTCCAGTTGGGTTCTGGTATGTTCTGTTCTATCCAAGTCTATTTTAACCTTTCAGGGACAGCGGTTACTCCAGTGAACATCTTATCAGGTTATATGTTGTCATTAATTGTACATGAAAGGGTTAAGATTATTTATCTGTTTTTCGGACTCAAATTTTAGTCTTTTCTTCACCTTGTCATTATCGTGTATTGTGTGTTGAGTTTTGACATCACGCAATAAGGCTATAAGATAAAATGTGGACAAAGTAAAAGCACTGTGACTACTTTCCAGATGCACTGCATGGGGTATTGCCTCAAGTTTCGAGCCGGTGAACTCACACAGAAAGGAGCCGGCGTTGATGGTCGCTGTGAAAAGTGAATTCTCCGGGGCGTAGGTCCCACTTGTGCTGCAGGTTTTTGTTTTTGCGTGACTTCAAATTTAGCTCTCTTATAATAACATAGTACACGATAAAACTGGATATATTGTTGTTACCTTATGGTGGGCACCTTACAGCAGTCAGTGGTGTGATTGACAGTGCAGAAGTTTTCCCCCCACCTGAGAAAAAAAAAACAAACATTCAAATGATTTGTTATTGTCATTGCGCTGTCCGCGCTGGCGGCAGTGAAATCAAACTCACCAGTCCGTGAGGGAGCACACGTGTCGGTTGGAGTATGTCAACCCATATCGCGGGCCAGATCTGGCCCACGGACCTTGACTTTGACGCCTGTTCATTAAATTAAACATAATTGAATTCAAAGAAAAATCCAATCCTGATGCCGCCTGCCTCCTTCAATATTGCGATTGTGATTTCATCTGCAGTTGTTTTTTTTTCATAACTCTGAACTTATCTAGGCACCAAATAAATACAAAAATAAATATTCAAATGTACATCAAATTTACCCTGCCAGCCGACAACCTTACATTGTCGATTCGAATTCGATTAATTGTTCAGCACCATTTTGAACGCAAGAAAAGTAAATAATGACATTTTATATATATAATTCATTTTATTTATTGCCACCTACTGAGTATAATTCATGCATATTTCGACCATGTAGTAATGTGACAGTTCCAGACATGAATATTTGCATTGGCGTGAAAGGCATAGCAAGTGGAAACAGCGGATAGACCGTCAGGAAGTCGGCATCTTAGGTGTACTTACACAGCCCACGTTCCGATGAAGGATGTCAGCGAGAGGGCCAAAGGGAAGAAAATCCAGAGCCACATGTCTCAGAAAGGGACAGAAAAAAAGGTGAAGTGAATATTCCCTCCGCTGCCGAGCTTATACCTCCATGCTTCCTTATCAAGTCTGAGATGTCAGCTTCTGGTTCGCGTGTTCGTCTCCTCCCCGTCTGACACACCTCGCCTGTGTGACAGAACAAACGTGATGCAGGACGTGGGTTGGAAGACCTGTTTGTTCGCAAGGAATCACAGTCACAGTTTTGTTCTGGTTTTGATAGTGATTATCTTTTGTTGTGTTCATTTGTCGGTTTCGTCATTTGGTTCAGCATAATCCCCAAACGGTGATTAGAGGCAACTGGCCTTTTCTTGTTTGTTAAAGATGATTCACCGTTAACCCAAAAAGACTTTTTACATTCCAATTAAAAACAAACAACAACAAAAGCAATTTGTATACAGGAGGTGGAAACAATTCCACATTATTTCAGTTATGTGGCAAGCCTTGAAATAACTTTTTTTTTTAAACCTCAAAGTCAAAATCAAAAGTCTGTACTATATTGTCAAGTAAAATTTATTCATTTAGCCCTTACTCACAAAAAAAGTCTCAAAGGGCTTCACATGCCCACAGTTGACAAATATTTAAGACATTTTGAAAACAAACAAATAACATTCTGATATTATAACTATTTCATACTGTATTAATGTACTTTTAGGATTGTAGGCCGCTCCTCCTGGTCGATTGATGTCCTGTAGGTGTAAGTTCCGCTCTGGTTCAGCGTTAGTTTGGTTAATTTTTTTCTCCAGACACTTATTACATTTCTTGCTATTTTTCTTTTCAGTAAGGTGTACTTGATCACCCAAGCACTTAATTCCACTGTTAAACGATACGTGTCAATATTAGGTTAGCTTAGCAATTAGCATGGCTAGGCCTTCAGCCTGCTGGCTTTTGATGGTCTGGGCTTGTCATCACTGACTCATTCATTTTGCGTCTTGTGTTTTTTTTGTCCACATGACATGGCAGTCTGGCAGGCCAGGAGTTTAGCACGTTACAGCACGAGCAGGCTAGGATCGTTTGGAATGATAATGCATAGTATTTATACAGTCGGGGAGGGGCAACTAATGCCGGAAAGCTCAAATGCGTACTTGGGCTTGGTTTCAGCTGCGCCCCAAAAATCCACAATTAAATTGGTGCCAATTCTGTCCCAAATTGTTCTCAATTCTTACACGTTTTCAGCACTTACTGCAAACACATTGAATGTTTTTAGGAACGAATCACTGCGATCACTTTTCAGAGTCCCTTAAAAAAACGAACAGCTGTACATTAATAAATCAAAGTGCTGTCAATTAATAAATCCCAAATCTAAAATATAAAACACAAACAAATACATTAATTACATAAATAAAAATATTCTTTTAAAATTAAAACATGTATTTCAATGTATGAATGTTATTTATTTTTAATAAATTTATTTAACATATTCAATTTACAATATCGGACCAAAAAAAAAAATCAGATTTAGAATGTATATAAAAACACGAATAACATTAGCCGCGAATCTGTCGTGACCAAGTTAAATTCTGACGGTCATACGGGGTCATTGGAGGAGATAGCTGACGTCACCATCGTCATTTTCAAAACAGTTAAGATGGCGGCGCACATGAGACGGGCTTTCTGCCCCTTGCTCCGGATGGCGAGAAATACCACTCTTATTCGGTTTGAACTTCCTAGTACCTACATTGTATAATTTGCTGAGCACTTGATGCGTGCGGCGTGATGAATGGGTCAAGTTAGATGTGTTACTTGCACGAACGAGCAGAGCTAACCCATTAGCGAGCTGCTGCGAGGAAACGCTTTTTGTAATTGAAACGTTTCATTTTCACTTTGTGTAGTCATCAGTTATTTTAGCTAGTAATTATAATAGCGCCTGTAGCTTCATTGAGTGTATTGCTATAATTGTTCAGGGTTGAATTACATGAATACCGATTGAGTTGAAATTGCATACGTAACCTAACTGCTAATGACGCGCAGCAAAACAAACATCTCGGTTTGAGCCGATTCTGTATATTACTGAATATTAGTAATTTTTTTAAGGTTTCCAGAAAGAATTGGACTTTCATACCATACGCACTTAAGCAGGAAAGTCCTTTCTGAACCCTGCAACAGAAGCACACACGTCCCAAGTGAGAATCAGTTGATTGACCGCCGTCGGCCGTTTTCTTAACTTTAAGCTTATTTGACCCTCGTTTCTTTTTTTTTCTTTCTTAGTACGACAGGTTTCCATCCTGACTCAAGATACCCCAAACCCAAGAAGCTTGAAGTTTCTCCCAGATAAGCCGGTTTTAGGAACCGGGACACTGGATTTTCCCTCTCTTAGCTCAACAGAGTGTTCATCTTTAGCTAGGTTTGGATTAATTATCTCCTTTTAAAAAACTTTTAGTTTCCTCTTTTATATTTGCCAAACCTAACCGACTCTTGATCTAGTTGTGCCATTTCTGAATTAATCAAGTTTGATAGAACAAACAATAACATAACAATGACAACATCCATATGTTCTTCAGAGACCTCTTTGAAATTGAAGGAGTGAAAAGTGTGTTCTTTGGCCCGGACTTCATCACCGTCACAAAAGTAAGTTTTGCAAGAAATATAGCGGTTGGCTCCCCTGCAAAAATAAGAAATGGAAAAACATTACTGAAGAAAAATCTGCAAATCGGTGTATCTGCAGGCACCGACCCACAAATATTCCGGGGTCCATTGTAGACCATACTACAACCATACTTGCTGGCATATATTCTTTATCTTCTGTGGAGAAAGAGTATGTACAGTGTAATCGGATACCAAAAAGAGCAGCACAATGAGCATTGAATTAAAGCAAAAAAAAAAAAAATCTGACATAAAAACAATTATTTCTTTGCATTCTATTTACATATTTCACAAAGGTGTGTTCACCGAACTTATGAAACCCATATACCAGGCACCAATATATCGAGAACTTGGATGACCTTGCAGTGTTCTCAACAGATAGACGAGGACTTGGAGTGGACGGACATCAAGCGCAATGCGTTGGAAGCCATGGCCAAATTCTTTGAGAGCGGTGATCCCATCACAACAGGAGACGTGCACCCAGAAAGTAGTGAGTTTCGGAGAAATGATCAGGAGGAGCTAGCGAGAGAAATTATTCAAATGTCGATTTTATGACATGTAGGTGTCTCTGAAGATGATGACGAAGTGGTGTTGATGATTAAGGAGCTTCTTGACACCAGAATCAGGTAAATGAGCTCAGATGAGGAGATGTTATTTATATTATATATTATATTATGTGTTTATGGTAGTGGAGTGGAACAGAATGAATTTGCTAACTTCCAAGTTCTAATAAATTTTTTCCCCAATGGAAATAATGAATTCCAAGTTCGACAAAAAAAAATAACGTGATAAGAGAAGTCAAAGTAATCAGAATTTAAGTACTCCTAGCAGGCATGTAACAAAGAGCGAAGATGTCTTTAGAGCAATATTGTCCACCAGTGGTGTATTGATACATACGAGTTATTGGATTTAATAAAGGTTGGTGATGGAATGAATTGTATTGCTCATCTTGAAATGAGCAGCCACACATTTGTTATTTCAGGGAAATTTACATTACCGCAGCAACTATCACGAGACTAACATGTCTCTCTTTCTCTTCTGATCCCCGCAGACCGACAGTTCAGGAGGACGGTGGCGACGTGGTCTTCAAGGGCTTCGTGGACGGCACGGTGCAGCTGAAGCTGGTGGGCTCCTGCACAGGATGCCCCAGCTCCACGGTGACCCTCAAGAACGGCATTCAGAATATGATGCAGTTCTACATTCCAGAAGTTACGGCGGTGGAGCAGGTAGCTATTGTGTTCAATCTTTTTTGCTCCTTCAGTTGTAACACCGCTACAGGGATGCTATTTGTGAGCCATTTTCCATGATGTGTTAGCGTTAATCAAGCAGACTTTAGGGCAAAGTTATGTTGTTTTAAATACGCAGCGTGTAATTCTTTCATGTTTAGTTTAGCGGTTTACACCACGGCGAACCCAGGTTTATTGGTGAAATTGACGATATCGAGATCATGTAATTTCAAGCACAATTTTAATTTCTACTGGTTTCATACTCCCGGACAGGTGGAAGATGAAGTGGACGAAGTCAACGCAAAGGTTTTCTCAGAGCTGGAACGCAAATTACAAGAGTAGTCAGAAAGTTGATTGACAAATGTACTGATTGATCTTCAAGAAGAAAAAGGAAGAGAGGAACGAAGAAGGGCTGTTGCTGTGTGTTTATCTGTGCCTGCTAGTTACAGATAAAATAATAGTTTTCACTTTTCTTCACAGAAATGTCATGCCTATAAGGTAAGGAAGCTAATGTGGCTTGATTATACACTTTTTGCTTATTGTACCCACAAAAAATGGTCCATTTTGTGAAGTTGTGCCATTGAAGGCTTAAAATGTCTTGCTGTATTTATTTTCACTGTATACTGTATTTTTGGAAGGTTTTTCGCATTAGTTGAATGCAGAATGACGACGATGTAATTCATGCTTGATATATTAAACAGATGATCTATTGGGAAATTAGGACTGAAAGAAGTGACGTGGGAGTACTCTTAACTAAAAAGAACACAACTAATTGTACTGTAGTAATTTGTTGTGTCCACCGCATTATAATAAATTTCACATTGACTCACAATTATGTGCATTGTTAAAGCCCCCACCCCTCCCAATTAATTTTTTCCCCTCAATTGTAGAACATGATAATGATTTATTGAAATGATGAAGTCGCAATGGTGCAAACGATGCAGTGACACATTTAGACATTCAGTATTACAGTATTTGCAGTCATACATTCTTTATCTTCTGAGAGGAGCTGAGCCATCCAAACCGTACTGAGACGTGCCACTACATTTAGATTGATAGAGGTCATCCATTATATACAGGATTTGCCATTAATTTTACTCCTTTATTATAGCATTTGTGTCAAGTGAGTAAACGAGGATGTCACTGCGCATTTTTGTAAAGAAAGCATGTGCAGAGCGGTGCCTGACAACATTCTGATTTTGATGAAAAATTACCTGTTATTTAAGTTTTGAGGGGTGGGAAGCCAACGTCTGTTTTTCACGGAAAATTCTTATTGGCATTAAGTCCATGCTTATTGAAGGATTTTAGTTGTTAAAAATACCTGTTTTTTAATTGGCTATTTTCAGTCTGTGAAACCGAATGAAATTCCATTACGTTTGTGCCTGTTTGTTCTGAACGAGGTGTTTATATGCAGTATGTTCATTGGTTCTGGGATTCTAATCCAATTCTGATTGCAAAACAGTTGAATACTGTTTTGCAATTAGAATTGAGTTAGAATAGTAGCCCACCAGTCGTCCACCAAGTGGACCCCTGCTATTGTAGGGTATAGAGACTGGGCAAAATATGCATTTAATTAGCGTACATTAAGTTTTTTTTTTAACGCAATCAAAAACAAAGCTGATAAAACTCCAACATGTTTGGTTCCCCCCACAAAACTCGAACCACGCCAAAAATCCTAACATAAATGAATGCGCGGGTGACGAACCGCGTGTATGCGGGGGCCGTTGTACAATGCTCCATGTTACCCAGGCGTTAGTCATTAATGCCACCAGGTGGCAACGACGGGAAGCAGCAACGTGGCAATTCAATTGATTCAAGGTGTGCGCCAAAACTGTTTTTAATTCTGTGTAATCATGTCATTATTACTGTATATTTTTACGCAATGTGATAGTGTGCTATTTATCGTATTTTCAAAAGGCTCTTAGTTTCGCGCATGCGCAGATCGCGTCTCCACTTCTCGACGGCCGGCTGCAGTGGACAGAGGTTAGTCAAGCTGCGATGATACTCGTTAAAAAAAAAAAAAAACTAAAAAAGCAAACGACCTCACTATTTGCTCTCGTTACTTATCGCTACATGTCAAAATGACTTGTTTTGCAAATAGGCATGTTCCCGTGGTTACGTGTGTTTAAGCATGAGTGACGAGTCAGCTGCTAGTGTCAGCAAAATGTTAGCCGAGGCCTCCACAACAAATCCTGCACGAGGCTACACCGACCACGAAGCTAATGCTAATGCTAATTGCTTCCTCGCGCTCCGCGTAACATTAGTCTAAATAATAGTGGTTCAGAACTTTGAATGTAGTTTGAACGAGACGCATTTCGGTCATGCCCCCGCGGTGATTTAAACACATGAATGCGATTTTGTATGGGCAAAATTAAATTGATACAGTGTGCGTTAGCCTACTGCCATTTAAAAGTGGCAAGCGGAGACCGATAGCTTTCGGGACTCGCTATGTTAGCAGGTGCGATTTAAATCACACAGTTGTACTAATAGCAAGTGTAATATGCTAACACGTCAGCTAATTATGGGAAAGCAACATTTGTTCTCCAACTGTATGTCGTTTAGCGGGAGGAACGAATGTTATATTAAAGCGTTTCAAAGCCTGTGTTAAGTGATTCACGTTCAATTCTTTTTACGTTTTCTGTCAAATTAAAGGTGGAATTGTGTCGCACGCGCATTGTGAAGTTGCCCTTGACCCACGTGCTCGCGTTGTTCGTGCTAGTTTGCTTTCTGCCTGAAAACGTGCAGCTCACTCTTGCCGCAAGCAGTGTGTGCTGGACGGCTAAAATTAAACAGGACAGTGAGTAGCTATACTCAGTTGATACACTTTTCATGAGGTCTTGTGATTACGCTTGCTTTCATTCATTGTATTTTTGTTGATGGATTTTTTTATTTTCTAAAGGTATAAGCAACAAGCCGGCGAGTGGAGACGAACTTTCATCCGAGTGAGTCATGGCCCAGTTCGGGGGACAGAAAAATCCGCCCTGGGCGACTCAGTTTGCCGCCACGGCCGTGTCCCAGCCGGGCCACACGGCCCACACGGCCCAGGCTCTTGACATCAACTTGCACTGTAAGTATAATAAACTTTCTTTCTTTCCCGGTAGTACTTCCAAAAATCAGTCTGAAAACTCCCAAGTTGAAAACATTATGGGTGATGCATGCATTTACCACCACAGAAGTATCAGGGTTGGCAAATAGTTAAAGTGTGATGGAAATGGAACAAGTGACAGTAACACATGAGCAGTCAAATGAACAGTCACAATGTACAATATATCGCTCACAGACACTTGTTCAGAAATGGGCAGATAAGAAAAAAATATGCTTGTTTAATTTCACGCTATTTTGTAAAAGACATTGAAAAGTTAACTTGCCATAATTTGTCCCCTCTAATGTTACACTAGATACAACAAAAATCTCGACAAACTGGAGGTGACCAAACACAAACTTGAACTTTGATCAAATTAAACCGTAAAAAAAGGAAACACAGTAATAAGGGTACTACCATTCACTCACCAAAAAGTACAGGTCAGTACTGCTTTGGTTTTTAAGTGAAGGTTTAGGTCACATTTGGTACAGTTATGGGGGGGAAAAAATGCAAAGCATGAGACTTCTGATTTCTTTTTTTGTGTACCACAAGAAAACACAAAGTCTCAACAATTGTCAAATTAATTGAAAAAAAATCTAATCATCACATTTTTCTTTTTAGCAAAGTGTTACTGCATTTTATTATTGGGGGTGAGGGCAATGAACGATGCTGGCAAATGCAGCATAAACTGTTAAATAATGAATTAACTATATGCCAAATCAGCAATGACATTTGTTACTGCCTTGACTCCATCTGAAGTTTTCTTTTGCGACCGTCTTCCCGCAGCTCTTGGCGTGCAGCAGCCTTCTCTCCTGGGAGCCTCCCCCGCCGTCTACTCCCAGCAGTCGGCCTTGGCCGCAGCCTCTCTCGGCAACCAATCCGCCGCTTCCTATCAGCTGTCTCAGCAGACGGCCGCCTTGCAGCAGCAGGCGGCAGCGGCAGCCGCTGCCGCGGCACTGCAGCAGGTCGGTCATGGCGCAAGAAGCAGGTAGCAGCCGCGTGTCAAACAGCGCACTCGTCTTATCAGCTGCGTGCGTGTGTCTGTAGTCGCAGATCAATTCAGCCCTGCAGCAATATCAGCAGCAGCAGCAACAACAACAGCAGCAGCAACAGCAGCAGCCGCCCCCACAGCAACCGCCGCAACAGCCATTGTACAGTGTGCCTCATCAGGTGAAACATGCTCTTTGTGTGACACTCAACAGACTGAAGAGACAATTCATTGAACCGTAGTAGTGGTGCACTCAATTGCTCCAAACGCCACTGCTCAGAAGGACATATTTTTTTTATCTGGAATACTCCCTTGTTCATTTTGTGAAGTACACTCAACTTAAAGCAATATATTGATTTTCTTCATCCAATGTTTATTGCGGAAGGTCCATCGTATTTCACGAATCCAGTACAGTGCATTGATACAACAGCAGTGAGTGACGTAATTAACAAGACAGTCATGTTCAAAAAGCATTTATCTATTTAAGTGAACGATATTGTCCACTACATAAAAATTTCTCGATGTTTAATAGGGAGTATGGGTTGATGAATGATTCCAAACTCTGCAACTGCGAATCGTTCATCATGCCCTACTCCCTAATCATTATTTACAGGTAGTGATTTTGAATCGACTTTTTGTTTTAGTCTCTCTCTAATAGACACAAACGCAGTAATAGTTACAGTAAATATTTGTTTGTTTTTTTTTTTTTGTTTTTTGTTTTTTTTTGTAAATTTAACCTATAAAAACGTGCGCACTATGAACTTATTGCGTCGGAATTTATAGCTACACATTTCAGGAAAAAAAATTCCGCCCGTTGCCTAACCAAACCCTTAATTCATAAATATTACCAAATATATGCTAAGGAAAAAGTGAATGTGCCCTTTTGGAATAGCGCAAAAAAAATAAAAAGCGATCTTAAAAAAAAAAAAAAAAAAAGGTGTCGCTAAACCCATCCTAAATTGCTGTGAAATGCTAACTCCATTCTTTGTTTCTTGTCCCAGCTTCCACAGCCTCAACCGGCACTGCTGTCACAGGTAACATGTTGTGATCTGCAATAAGAATCCTCTTTAATAGTCATTTGGTCGTGACAAGAAATGCCAAAACACTTCTCGCCCCCCTCAGCCGCCAGTGGCTTTGCCCACGAGCTTGAGCCTGTCCAATCCCCAGCAGACGGCCCAGATCACCGTGTCGTACCCGACGCCGCGCTCCAGCCACCAGCAGCAGCCGCAGAAGCAGCGCGTCTTCACCGGCGTTGTCAACAAGCTGCATGACACCTTTGGCTTCGTGGACGAAGATGTCTTCTTTCAGCTCAGGTTCATGAGCGCGTGCGCGGATGTTGTCGCTAGCAATTCTCTAAATAACGAGGCGGAGTCTTCTCGCTTCAAGCTGTTTGTCATGACTGTTCATTCAGCGTACAGAGGAACCGGAGAAATTGGTTTGTCAACATAATTTCCGTTGTCATTTGTCCTCTTCCAGCGCCGTAAAAGGGAAGACGCCGCAAGTGGGCGACAGGGTGCTGGTGGAGGCCGTGTACAACGCCAACCTGCCCTTCAAGTGGAACGCCCAGCGCATCCAGACCTTACCTCAGCTCGCGAACCAGTCGGTGAGAGCATTCACAGTTTCTATGCGCAAGATGGTTGTCAGACTTGTTTGACGACACCTTCCTTTCAGCGCAACGATTTTCACTGAACGATTTTCTCCCCAGATTAGATGGTTCCCCCGTCCCCCGATCCCGTTTCCGCTGCCGATTGACTGTTGTGTTCTCATTCCCTCCCCAGCATCAGCAGCAGCCTCAGCCTTTACCTCAAGCTTCCCCGCAGCTGGGCGGCCTTTACAATGAGCCAGGGATACAGCTGCGCTACTCTGACATGCACCCCGCAGCGGACGGCAGACAAAATGTAACCGCATACAAGTGAAATCACACACTCTCCGTCATCCTCGGCACACTCTTCTTCTGCTCGCTTGATTACTTGCTTCCATTTTTTTTTTTTTTTTTTTTAAATTTCAGTTTTCTTTGCACATTTTTTTCAAAAAACCCCTTTTTTTGGCCGCTTGATTTTTTTCTTTCATTTTTTTTTTTTTTTTTTTTAAAATTTCAGCTATCATTGCAGATTTCTTCTCAACAGCATTTGCCTTGGCAGTTTAACCCTAAATGTCTTTATAGCACCTTATCATGGACTGGTGACTTTGCATGTGTTTGCGAGGTGCTGTCTATCGAGAGACCATGTATTGAGTAACAAGTTTTCTTTCAGCTGTTCCATCTCACATTAAGGTAGAAATGATTGCAATAAGATGGAATCAGTGCCTTTAGAACAGTGTGACATTGCTTACATCCTTACTTTTATCGTTCAGCTACTACCAAGGCTTCAGGTTTTCCGATTTCAACACCTGTTTCTTTAAAATTCTGAAGAGATGCTGATTTTAAGTTTTAGTATTTTCTAGTTTAAAACTTGAGAAAAGAGACAGATAATGGAAAATCACAACCCTCGTCACTGATTGGTGAAACATTCCTCTAATTTTATGGTCATGTATCGTCAGTGTGGCAGTCTAAACTGGTCAAATAAACCCCCTGAAATGGACAGTGTGCTTTCACTCACGCAGGCATTCATTAGTTTTGATCAAGTGGCATTTATTCATCTCTCCTTTTTTTTCTTTTTTTTTTTCTTCTTCTTTTTTCCTAGAGTCATCCTCCGCCTCCCAACATGATGAAGGCTCCCCCCATCCTTCAGTCGCTACCTCCTCCGACCACATTCAGTGTTCCGCCCCCGGCTCCTCCTCCTTCCCTACTGCAGGCCCAGTTATCTGCCGCCTCGCTAGGCCCCCTCCTCCAAAACCCGCCGCAGCCTCTGCTGCCGCCTCCCAAAGGTAAAACAAAGGCTCACCTCCGAATGAAAAGGAACCAAAATTTGTGTCTCAAGCTGCCGAAGCCAGTATGACATTTTTCCCTCGATGTGCTTGCAGGGGGTCTCCTTCAACCCCCGGTGAGACTCATGCCACAATCGCAGCCTGTCCGACGGATCGAACCTCCTCCGCGCTTCCCTCCTCGCAACGATCGCCCTCCTGAGCTCATCCTCCGCAGTAAAGAGGATCGCAGGTCATTGCGGTTTATCGACCTGCACACACCATGACGTCACACGTACTTCCTGGTGGCAGAAGACAACTTCTTACTAGAAAACGAACCCTTTAATGTAATGACAAAGGCAGAGCATCTTTTTAAGCCATCTTCACTTGCTTTCTGGCACCCGAAAGTATCCCGGCGCCCATTGTTTCCATCATAATGAACAGGACTGTTAAACGACGTGCAGATGGCGCGATGTCACGTTTTTTTTGAAGCGTCTCCCCTTTTTACGTTTTCAGCCGAGACAGAGAGCGCGAGCGCAGACGGTCGAGAGAGCGCTCGCCCGTGCGCAAACGTTCCCGAGAGCGCTCCCCGAGACGAGAGCGCTCGCCGCGGCGCCCTCGCAGGGTGGTGCCTCGCTACACGGTTCAGTTTTCCAAGTTCAGTTTGGACACGTGAGTCAAACACGGTTGGCATTGGTTCGCAGCAAAGGGGAGGGGGAGGGATGTTGGAAGACGTAACGTGTGCCTCTTTTTCGCTCCCCCAGTTCGAGCTGCGACATGATGGAGCTGAGGCGGCGCTATCAGAGTCTGTATATTCCCAGCGACTTTTTTGGCGCGGCCTTCACTTGGGTGGACGCCTTCCCCCTGACGCGACCCTTTCAGTTCAGCAACGCCTGCAACTTTCACATATTGCACAAGGAGGTGGATCCTTTTGTCAAAAATACAGCTGTGCTGGATCCGCCCGACGCCAATCACACCTACAGCGCAAAGGTAGGCTTCATCAATGACCCACCCGGGCGATTTTCCCGCCTTCCAATCAAAGTGAGCAAAGCACTGATCCTTGAATGTCTCAACGATTATCCGATCCACTGGGAAAATAGCTTGGGCTAAATGTTCAGCATTTTATCTACAGTTTTCTTTTGTCTCGTGTTATGTTTGTGGTGTGGTGTGCTGTACAGCACACATAAGAACAGAAAGAACCTGTTTTTTTTTTTTCGTTTTGTTTTTTTCCCTTCTGGGTGGTATCTTTCTCACTGAGTCAGTAAGTGGCTGCTGTTGCGTTGAAAACGCCCTTCTCTGTTCATCCTCTGAAATGAAGCTCACGTAGGACTTTTCTTGACCAGGTGATGCTTCTGGCTAACCCAAGTTTAGAGGAGTTATATCACAAGTCATGTGCCCTCGCAGAAGATTCCCAGGAGGTCAGAGACTCCTTCCAGCACCCCGCAAGACTCATCAAGGTACCCGTCGCTCTTTTCATTGCCGAATCAGATCAGCTGACGTCGTACCGCAGGCTTGAAATGTTTGGAAGTAGGAAACGGAACTACATCAGCACAGCCAGTTAGGATAAGCAGTAGGGGAATGGAGTCTATTAGATGCCTATGAAATGTCACTCATCTCTGTCTAACTTTGACCCTTTGCCTCACCTCTTTACCCAACCCCGTCTACTCTTTCACCTTCAGTTTTTAGTGGGCATGAGAGGCAAAGACGAGGCCATGGCCATCGGTGGCCACTGGTCTCCCTCTCTGGACGGAGCCGAGCCAGAGAAGGATCCCTCAGTCCTCATAAAGACAGCTATACGCTGTTGCAAGGCACTCACGGGCATAGATCTTAGTCTGTGCACTCAGTGGTAAGAGCGCTTCTCCTCATTTGTCATTCAATTTGTTTTTTTTGGGTTTTTTTACCAAGTGTGAAACTTACAAATCATCCGACTATCCTTCGTGCTTGTATTATTGTCTATTTGATACTGTTATTGTACCGCCCTTTGTGTCTTGTCGTCTTGGCTCGCTCTTTTCTGTCAACACACTCTAAATTGACAAACACGTTTCACCATGGTGGCAAACCAAGCGCACGGGACTGTGGCGCGGAAGCAGTCGCCTGGACCAGATGACATCGCCATCACCTTTGTTTTATCCTTGTGTTCCTCTATTCTCTCTGTTGAAATATTCCATATTTATTGAACTGGCTTTCATATTCTTTTCTCGTATGCACATTGTCAAATGTGTCCAAGGTTAAAGGCAGAGCTGTATAACGTTGGGGGCGGGGGTATAGGCTTGTGACATCACGTCATGTTTGTCAACCTTCTCAAACTGGCTCCCTTCACCATGACAACCGTTGGAAAGCAGCAGACCGGCCCTTCTGTGTGTTGTGTGTGTGTGTGCTGGGAAGGTGGGGGTGGGAGGGTCACTGTATATTGACTTATCGGATCCTTTGGTGACACCAAGGGGGGAAGTGTGAGTGAAGGCAGGGGTAGCTAAAAAAGGTTTGCCTAGCCAGGCCTGCCTGTTGTGCTTTGCCCTGACCAGAATGTTTCTTTCCAATGCACCCTCTTCCTTTGCGACAGGTATCGTTTTGCAGAGATTCGCTATCACCGGCCGGAGGAGACACACAAGGGGCGGACAGTCCCCGCTCATGTGGAGACAGTGGTTTTGTTTCTTCCGGATGTTTGGCATTGTCTTCCTACCCGCTCAGAGTGGGAGGCGCTGTCGCGGCGACTCCGGGAGCAGCTGGCTGAGAAGCTGTTGGCCGAGCGAAAGGAGGCGGATGGAGAACAGGCACTGAACCGCTAATCCCTTCTCTTCTCATTTCCGCTTCTCACAGGAAGGCACAGGACTTACAAAAATAAGACACACACAAAACAAACACACACGCGCACCTCACGCCACAGGCAAAACACACGGACACGGAGTTTACGACTCCAGCCAACCTCACCTTGGCGTCCTCTGTTTTACCCCTCCAACTATCCCCCTTCCTCTTCTCCTCCACCCCAACATCAGCACTCAGCACCCCCCCCCCCCTCCCACACATCCAGCTAAATTTTCAACCAGTGATAGTTTTTTCCACCCCCCACCCCCTTTTTTTTTACGCTGGCATGCGGAAGTGGATAACTGCTGGAATCTGTTGAGTCAGTTGCATGCCGGTAATGTGTCTGTTGTAGAAATGTCTTATTTTTATATGATTTCTCACACCAATTTGATTGGGAAACAAGAGCCTTGCCCCAAGTCGTGTTCCTTGTCTGTTCTCGTTGTTGGCTTCTCTATTTTTATTTTTTCATTTGGACTACATGTAGAGTTTGATGCTTCCAGGGCAGTTGAATGAACATCTCATGTAGTTCTCTAAATCCTCCATAATTGGCAAAGCCAGTAGTTGTTAGGGCCGCCCTCTCACCCTCGCTTGGAGACAAACTCTCCTGATGGTACAGCTATTACCTCATTGTTTTGTTTTTTTATCTTTTTTTTGTGTGTGTGTGTGTGTGTGTGTTCCACAGATTGATTGGCAGCTGTTTGTTAAAGAGCTAGAGAGCTTCCCTGTGTGCCCCTCGGTAGCAGTGGACATAAAGCACAGTTGAGCTCACTAGAACGAGACTTTTTTTTTTTCCCCCCCCTTTTTGTTGAGAGGATTTGTGATCTTGCACGGATCAACTTGAAAGCTTACTCGGATCACGAATGGCGTGCTAACTTTGTCCTGTCCCTCCTTTCTCCCTCGCTCCCTCTCAACGACTGTCTTTCAAGGAGGAAGAGGAGAAGGACGGTGAGGAATCAAAGGATGTCTGCACTCCTACTCACTGGACCAAACTTGATCCGAAATCAATGAAGGTAATGTTGTGGTGTCATTCCTTTCATTTGAAATACTAATGAAAAAAAAAATATATTTTCTGTAGCGTTACAATAGTAAACCTGTCGCAGTAATGCATGCTGTTATTTTGGGTCAATTTGGGCAAAGTTAAAGCTGTTTGAATCTCAGGAACGTTTATTAGAATCCATTTCAATCTCATGATGACCAGATTATCTTTTCCTTCAGGAAAAAAAAGTTTCCCCCTGGGGTTTTAAAATACAGGCTTCGAGTGAAATCTTAAAGTCCTAAAATGCATTGAATCCACGACTCTAAAAACAAAGCCGTAATTGACACGAAAATGTCAAACACATAATTAAGGTTAGAGATTGTAAATAGTAGGGTGGGCCAGTGGTTAGCGAGTTGACCTCACAGTGCAAAGGTACCGGGTTCAATTCCAGCTCTGGCCTCCCTGTGTGGAGTTTGCATTTTCTCCCCGGGCCTGCGTGGGTTTTCTCTGGGTACTCCGGTTTCCTCCCACATTCCAAAAACATGCATGGCAGGCTGATTGAACACTCAAAATTGTCCCTCGGTGTGAGTGTGAGCATGGATGATTGTTCGTCTCTGTGTGCCTTGTGATTGGCTGGCAACCTGTTCAGGGTGTCCCCTATCCCCGAAGACAGCTGGGATAGGCTCCAGCACCCCTCGTGACCTTTGTGAGGATAAGCGGATAAGAAAATGGATGGATGGATGGATTGTAAATAGTCTCAAACATCAATAAATACTATCATATCGTGGTCGGATAATTTGTATTTGCAAGCTACACTCTGAGTCAGACTTCCAGCTGGACCGTGGTTTCACTCATTTTGAGCTTTGCTATATTGAAGCCCAGTTTCACCTCATTCGGCGCACTTGTTTTTGTGACTGCTGTAACAGGTGGACTGGTACATTGCCTCGCCACGTTACTTGGTAAAAGGGATTCTTGTTTTGCGTCGGCGGCATATCTTAAAGCTTGTAAAGTCAATTTTTGTACCCCTCTTTGACTTTCCCTCTTGCAACGCTCCCCTGCAGGTCAACGACCTGCGCAAAGAGCTCGACTGTCGCGCTCTGAGCTCCAAGGGCTTAAAGTCGCAGCTGATCGCCCGACTCACCAAGCAGCTGAAGGTGGAGGAGCAGCTGGAGGAGTCCAAGGAACCCGAGAAGCCAGAAATCAAACCGCCCGAGGAAGAAGAGCCGCTCCGCACCGAGGAGGACAAAGAGGTACCCGAGGCGTTCCACCGCTTAACCGCGCTGAGTCGCGATAAGAAGTTTGCGCTGACGAAACGCCGTCCCCCTGCTCTCGTAGGAGTAGGAAAGGAAGGGGCAAGAGGAGCTCGAGCGCCAGCGCCGAGAACGGCGCTACATCCTCCCAGATGAGCCCACCATCCTCGTTCACCCCAATTGGGCCGCCAAGAACGGCAAGTTTGACTGCAGCGTGATGTCCCTCAGTGTACTGTTGGACTACAGGCTGGAGGACAATAAGGAGACCTCTTTTGAGGTGAGAATGACAAGCTATTCTCTTTATAGTGAACCCATGGACATTCCTTTTATTTGCCTTTTCTGTTGGTTGTTTTGTCTCGGCCCAAAGAATGTTTTTTTTAAAAAATGGCGCCATCTGCTGACATCTTGGTGGTAAGGCACCATGTTGAGTTTTAGTCAGGTCATATATGGTTCATTGGAAACCTTTTTGGGTGGGCGTTAATGACTTTTCGCTGTCCGCGGCAGGGCTCAGGCCGCCGCCTCTGCGAATTTTAGCCGATCAGAGGCAGCGTGTTTGTCGATGGTTGACCCACGGCAATCCTGTCCTCCAGGTTTCCCTCTTCGCCGAGCTGTTCAACGAGATGCTGCAGAGGGATTTCGGTTACCGCATTTACAAAGCCCTCGCTGCCATCCCCGTCAAGGATGAAAAGAAGGAAAAGGAGAAGAAGGTCAAAAAAGAAGCCGAGAAGAAGGAGCTGGAAAAGAGGGAAATAAAGAAGGAGAAAGAGGAAGACGGCGACGAGCCAGCAGCGAAGAAATCAAGAGAGGACGACGAGGTCGAGAGGAGGAAGGTGCGTCACGAATACCTGGCGCTCGTATGAAGGATTTTTTTGTTTTTAACAACACGCCTTTGATTTGTGTGCGCGAGCAGACCGACGACAAGGTGGTGAAAAAGGAGGAGTCACGTGACGAGGACGAGAACGAAGATGACGGCAGCACGGCCAACGCAGAGGAGTACGACCCGATGGAGGCCGAAGATGCAGATGAAGATGACGACGACGATGGTAATTGCGCTTTTTCTTCATATCGACACGCCGCCATGTCTCATTCACAAAAATTCTGGCCAATGATGAGAAATCATGCACCACTCTGAATTTGTGATGGATTCCATTTCCACTTTTTCTGAGGCTTTTTTCCTGTTGAATTTAATTTCGGACATCACATTTAGTATGTTCAGTTCTACACATTTCAATTTCTTGTTTTTTTTTTTTTTTGTTTTTTTTTTTTAG